TGGGCTATGGCGCTGCCCACAGCAGCACCCTTCTCCTTACACGACCACACGTGCGCAGCACCTTGCCCCAGCACTAGCAGCAGCACGCGAGCAATTGCTCCAGCAGCGCTGCTGCAAACTGACAAGTGCTTGAATGAGATGCCAGGCAGAGAACTCTTTCCTATATGGAAAGAGTCTGGCATGCTGTGGCCTGGCTGGGCTGGGCCTGCACCCAGAAGCTTCCGGTAGGCCCCAGGTAGCTGGGCCTCTGCAGCTGCTGCTGGGCCTTGTTCAGTTATGCCTCCCAACTGTCTGTGTATGTTGCTGTGAATGTGGCCCAGGGCCTGCATTTCAGAGAAAGGCCTAGAAGGCCGTGGAAAGTATTTGCTGCTCGGGTCCTGGGTTCCCTCAACCAACTGACGCGACACAACTGCTTAAACCCCAAATGCGAAATTGACAGCATTCGGCCTCTCGTGATTTGTTAGGCCTGCCTTCACTTAGGGCGGGCACACTTGCATAAGGGGCCCCTTAGGCCTGCCGAGGAGGCACATCCTCGCATCCCCTCCTTCACTTCGATAGTCCCCTGAGAAGTCTCTAATCTGCACGCAGCTTTCCCTCGAGTCCTCTTCCGTAGCCTGCAATCACTTGGGGAGCTGTTTGCTGGAGTTCCTCCCTGGTAAACCACCGATCTTCACTGGGATCGGTATGGTGTCTGAATCTGACACGGTACTGCATCCTTCGCTTTGGAGGTCGGCCTTTGCCGGGAGGTTTAGGCACTGGCATCATCCGGTGTTCCACGATTTCGTCGATGTCGACGTGGCCATCCATGGTTCGGGGCAGCATCGATCGTCTGGAGGGAAACTGTGCAGTTTCTGCAAAAGGTGCTAGCTTTGAGGCATGAAATACGTAGGTGAGCAGGGATGCAACTGACATAAGGAGATCCATCTATCTGATCCCCGACTATGTCTAGGACCTCCCAGGGACCGAAATACTGTGGCATTAGTTTTCTTGAGATTCCCAATTCCTGACCCAGTTCAGATGACTTGACCCAGACTCGCTCTCCTACCTGAAACTGAGATGGCCGTCTGTGCTTGTTCTCAAATGCCACCATAGCTTCTTAGCTTTCTTAATGTGTTTTACAGCCCGTTGCAGCATCTGTTCATATTTGACAGCGAACTCTAGGCTGCCACTTGCTGCAGACGGCTGAGTTTCGGGTACTAGAAAATCCAGGGCGGACCGGGCTTCCAACCAAGATGCAGTTGGTTGGGAGTCATACCAGTAGTGCTATGCACAGCGTTATTGTACAGGCTGGCGACGAGGGGTAATTTCTCGTCCCAGTCATCCTGACTTGGCTTGATGTAATGCCGTAGCAGGTGCTGCACTACCCGGTTCATCTGTTCTGCCTGGCCATTTGACTCAGGGTGATTCCCTGATGTCATTTGCAGTCGGGTGCCCATCTGTTGAGTCGTACTCCCCCATAGTTCGTTGGTGAAGTGAACGTCCTTGTCACTAATGATGGACTTGGGCAACCCAAGTCTCGTGCCCAGTTATCCATAGACAGATTGATAACATAGTTAGTTTTTGCTGTTTCTGGCATAGCGATTAGTCTAGCATACTTGGAAAATCGGTCCACTATAACGAAGATGTGTCTTTCCATTCTTGCTGGTCGCCAGGGTATCCATGAAGTCCATGGACACACTTTGGCCTT